ACATACTCCCACTGCAGCCACATTCTATAAACAGTATTTGCCTTCCAGCCTCAAAGCTTCTTTACAATGCTGCTCAGATAATCAGTCAGAGAAAGCAATTCTCTTAGGCCCAGTTTTTGACCTTGAAAATACCTGCTCAACTTCTACAGTAGTTAAGTTTGAGCTGTATGTATATCCAAAGACAGAAGTATCCTTTGCAACCAATCCTAGTTAGATTGCAAGTTTTTTTTACGCAAATTGGCAACCAATTCCTAATAAGGAATTAACTACAGTGTTGTTTATACCACCAGTGGCTATGACCACTAGCCACTTGCAATGAAAACCTTATGAGAATGGGGGTGGGGGCAGGTTGTCCTTAGAAAGAGCTCTAGGTTGTAAGGAACTCCCTGATTTTATTATGCAGGGACTTTGTGTTTATTCTATTGTGTAAAGCATCCAAAAATTAAGTCACAATATTTCTCACATTTTTCCTGCAGTTTAACTAGGTTGTGCAATTCTTGCATGTGACTATTGCCATGTCATATGGAATTATGGCCATATGCCATAGTATGTAATGGTTTAAAACTGCTGGAGTTGATCAGTAGATTCAATGTTCTAGACTGCTTGTTCTTCATTTGTCCCAAAAATTCATAAGCTACTAAAAAGAAGCAAGAACTAAGATCATATCCTAAGAAACAGCAGCTGGAGAGGTTTTTGGAGGGGGCACAAAGTCTTAGATCATTGGTTCTCAACCTTTCCAATGCTGCGACCCCTTAATACAGTTCCTCATGTTGTGGTGACCTCCAACCATAAAATTATTTTGTTGCTATTTCACAACTGTAATTTTGCTACTGTTATGAACTGTAATGTAAATACCGTATCTGATATACAGGAATGATTTTCAATCACTGAATGAAATTTAGCACAAGTACCTGATATGCCCAAATTTGAATACTGGTGGGGTTGGGGTGGGGATTGATTTTGTAATTTGGGAGTTGCAGTTGCTGGGATTTATAGTTCACAGACAATCAAAGAGCATTCTGAACTCCACCAAATGATGGAATTGAATCAAACTTGGCACACAGAACTCCCATGACCATATTGGAAGGGTTTGGTGGGCATTGACCTTGAGGTTTGGAATTGTAGTTCACCTACATCCAGAGAGCACTGTGGACTCAAACAAATATGTATCTGGACCAAACTTGGCACAAATACTCCATATGACCAAATATGAACACTGGTGGAATTTGGGGAAAATAGACATTGGCATTTGGCAGTTGTAGTTGCTGGGATGTATAGTTCACCTACAACCAAAGAGCATTCTGAGCCTCACTAATGATAAAATTGGGCCAAACTTCTCACACAGAACCCCCATAACCAACAGAAAATACTCTATTTTCTGATGGTCTTCAGCGACCCCTCTGACACCCCCTTGTAAGCCCCCCCCCAGGGGTCCCAATCCCCAGGTTGAGAAACGCTGGCCTAGATAATAGTCTCAGTGCCTCATCCTAAAAAGGACATACAATATGTAAATTGTACTTAGTTAACAGGATTGCTGGCCTTATTTTCACAGAGGATTGATCAGTCCTGGACAAAGTTGGATAAAGTTACTTTTCAGATTTCCAATTCAAAGAATCCCGCAGCCAGATTGGCTTCAGAAACTTTGGAATCTATAGGTTTTTTTAAAAAAACGTTCCCCATAGAATATATTGCTGGCTTCTGTAGACCAAGAGGGAAATATACCCAAAATTTCCTCCTAGACCTGCATTGTGAAGGAAAAAAATCAATTGCGGGGACTAAACTGGCTCAGGGAAGCCTAAGGATCTCATGCATGCATTTCTCCTTTTCTTTCAAAACTTGTCTGCTGCAGCAACTACACTGTATATCACCACCCACATGCACTATCTATTTTTGAGAGCAATCCAGGGTACCCAAGGACGATGACTCAAAACGCAAGGTGAAGTGCAGCATGCTGAAAGCCATTCAGATTTACCATTAAAATATCCTTTTCCAGACAATGGTATAAAACATTCAGTGCTCTCATTCAGTGGCTGTGTAGTGAAAGCTCACCTGTGTTAGGAAAGATGATAAAAGTTATTAAGGGTCTGATGGAGCATTCAAATTTGATTCATCACGTGTCTGCCTTTCTCTCTCCCTTTCTTAATGAATTTAATAGCTGTTTCACATCCTTCCCCTTGGCTGCATTTTCTGTGATAATTTAACAAGTACTTTTCTCTCCATACTATCCCATCGTTTGTTGTACCATTTCAGAGGTCGACTTCCCCCTCCAATATTTTTTTACTTCAATAATTCAATCGTTTACAAAGGCAGTAAAACTCAGACTGACCATTCTCGTCAGACTTGAATAGTCTAATGGTGTCTTCAGTGTCTGGTTTGATATCACATTTAGTCCCAATTGACGAGTAGTTAGTCTCAATGAGAGGCTACGCTATAATTATAGCAGGGAGTGCTGCTGAGGCAGAGCAAGGATGTAATAAATGTCAGCGTGTGTGGAAAATTTGGAGCTTAACCTTCCTTCTTCTACATTTTCCCTCCCCGTGTTATGTACCCTGATGAAGCTGGCATTATAAAGGATAACGAAGACACCGTGTTACAAGTAATGAACCTCAGAAGGCTTTTAAGTTTGGCTTTGTTGGATGTCTTATATTTAGTAGGCCCACATATTACTCAAGGACCTTTCATTATTCCAGGACCCTTCACATAATATGGCCTCATCTCAAATTCAATTTTTCTTACCTAAAATGAATGTCTTAGGATTCTGACTAAAGCAGTACCATTTAATCATGCTGGATCTAGAAAATGCCTAGAACAGTTTTCTATGGTTGATTTGTTCATCATGGTCAACTTCCAGTGGAATTTTTGGTGGAAGTTGACCACAGAATAGCCCTGGAGGCTTAGACAAACAATTCTCTAAACATTTTCTAGGACCTCCAGGGCAATTCTATGGCATTCAAGTCACTTTGTGTATAAATCAAACTGTTTTCAATGAAGCTCACATGATAAGTGAGCCTACTGCATTATTAGCAGAATAAGTAAAGAACGCCATAGTTGTGTATATTGTAAATAGGCTTTGAAAATGATGTTTTTCAAAATTTCCTTGCAGCAGAGAGGAATTTAAGAAATCATTGTTTTCCTTGAAAAAAATGTTGTGAATAATTATATCTCTAATTACAAGCATAACACTTTTTATCTTTGTGCAACTTATATTTAAGGAATTTGAAGGGGCAAAAACAGAGGCAATGGTCAGGGGTCAAAATTCAGCACTGGACTTCTACTTCTGAAATAAAAAGATGAGGCAGAATTCTTCCCTGACCATTGTACGCACTGGTGCCCTCTATGAATTGTCTATGAAAAAAAAACAGAAAAACCTCTAGGAAACTAGAAAAGACATAGGGGCAATGCTATTAGGAAGCATGGAGAGTTGTATGAGAGAAGACCAAGAAAGGACTGTTGCAACCACAGGTAGAATGAACTTTATTAATTCCAAATTCATCCCTCCGTCACATCTTTTGGGTTGCTTTCTCCTGGTAATGACATGGAATAAGGGCTGGGAAACAAAACTTGATTTAAAAAACCCCACCCACATAAGAGTTTGGGATCATGGTACCGGGAAAGGGCGGGAAACATAAGGGCGTGCAATTGTCTTCGCACTGATTCAGAGTGAATGTATGTGGAACTATTGGTCCAACCTAAACTGGTAGATTAGGTATTCCTGGACTATTATTATTAATGTTTATTTATACACTGCTTTTTCTCTCTACAATGATGATAATTATTCCTACTGGACCCCAACTGGGATTATTTTGATTGGATAAAAGGCTGTGAGTTCTTTGCTTTGAATGGACAACTAATCAAGATGTGTGGGCTTAGGAGAGAACAAAAAAGGATAAGACACAGCCCAATTCATATGGCACAATTGTACCATATGAAGAGAAGGCAACCATGCCACCTTCAAGCTATGCAGTTCCTGATAAATGAATAGACTGATAACTGCCTAATCTGATGTCAAATATGCTGTTATACTGGTACTCTTAAATAGATATATTTATGTCCCATTATTCTTGTAATAGATACCTATTAATACCTTTATGTTAATGAATGCTGTTAAGAGATAAACAGTGCTCAAGGAGATTAACCCCTGAATGTCTGGGTATTTCCACATGCCTGTTAGAAATGTATAGCTCCTCCAGCAGATAAAATGTATATCTAAATAGATGAGTGGATAAACTGTATTGTTAAGAAAGTTATTGATATGATTCAAGGGACAGCATTCTATATGTACAAAAGCCTCTATGAAATGTTTGTATAATGCCTTAAGAGACAGTATGAGAAACTATGGAAAGACTGTGACGATGCTTAAGAATAAAAGGCTATGTTGGATGCTATAGAATGGTAAAGTTTTACATGTGTTAATTAATACCCAGCCTGGTAAAGAATTGAATAGACAGATAAAGTCACCATAACATATCGTGATGAAAAGTATAACATTTGATATCCACATAATGATGTAAGATGTTTTAAATGCAATATAATGGAATGCAACGAAGCTGAGCACTCAAGATACTGCAATGTCTGTGTTCCTCCCTAAGGAGAATGTGCATGCCTGTACAGCTATGAATGCTAAATTAGTAGCAAGGAGCCTACTCCCATATAAATATCCTAAAATAGCAATATTTAAGAATACTTAAGTGGCACATTGCTGCTAAATTAGCCTCTTAGTCAGTTTGGTTTGACCACCATCAGGAGGCCAGAAGGTGAAGGTAGTGCCCCAAACAGAATTGACCAGGGGCCTCCATCCCTTAATTTTAAGAGATGAGTCTGAGAAACCACTCCTGCTTTCTCTTTGACCTTTGTGTTTTTCACTGTTGGATATCAACATAACAAAGCAATTGAAATAATATTTTCATATTATCAACTTTTGTGATAGATGAAGTCATTGTGAAGAACAAAAAGTCAACATTTTCATGCTTGAAGCAATATAGAGTAACAGATACACAAAATAATGATCTCATTTTTATAAGAAAACTGACAGTGTACAATTTTATATAAAAGAAAAAAAATAAAAGGCATATTTGCACATATACATCTGTCTATTATGAGTGGGCTATGAGAACATCTAATGCAACAATTTAGACCAGGATCCACAGAGGTCCTTTAGTAGTACCTAAAATATCTAGAGACATTTTATTGGGAAAATGTCATATCAGCAATCAGCCTGACAGTCTTCTGAATTCCAGCTGTTTATACGTGGCATGAGGAAGTAGCATTTCAGCAATAGAAGACAAATGTTTCCTTCGTCTGGCAGAATAATCATGTCTTTGGATCCTGGCCTTGAATTACAGTAGTATGCTGGGGGGGAAAAGGAGATTCGTCCACAAAAAATCTCCGATTTCTACTTGCATCACATTTACATAACTCCTGCATCTCAAAGGCTTATTGAGTTTCATATGAATTCACAGGATTTTCTTTTTCTTACATAAGTGATTAAGGGCAATATCTTTGAGTTCTGTTATAAAATCAGTCATATATATGTGTATGTGTGTGCATACATATATAGAATGCATATATAAAATACAACTAGAAGCAAATCTAATGAAACAATGATTGTCTACAAAAAGTTATCAAAGATGTTGTGCATGATCACATTTTATTCCTTTGATGAAGCTGAAGGCCACTTTCATGTAGTTCATAATGCTGAGTTGCAAGAATTTGAGAGACTTAGTAATTTCCCTCTCCTAGATTTCATCACTAGAGTCCTTTTTCATAAAAATTATTATCACAATAAATATTACCTTCTGTGGCCTGAGTTCTGAAAATGTAAGGTAGTCCTCTACATGGTGGTGTTGACAGTTGCTATAGAAGGCACAAACTTCCTGATTCACTTTGTGCGTGCCCACTCCCTCCTTCATCAGAGTATGCATCTGAGATCTAGTTAACATCCAGTTAATTAGCTAGAAAGCTGTGTTGGCTAATGGCTTTTTCATAAAGGAGGCTATTTTGAAGTAAGGTTCACCACTTCATGGTGCTTCAAAGCACATTAAGAGCTCCAGTGGTCATTTCATGTCATTGCTTTTCATTAGATGCAAGGGACAGGGTCATCTACTGAATTTTGGGTCAGTAAACCAGTTTGAGTAAGGACAGACCACTAGCTTCTTAACTCAGGGAGCTCATGATAACATCTGAGAACCTGTGGTCTACAGGGGCCTTGCTTTTTTGAGATTTAGATGTACTCCTGCAAACAAGACTAGGTTTCAAGACTTTCTTTTTTCTTATCTAGCCACTGTAAAGGCTTTATGACCAAACATGTGATATGTATTTTCAGAATTCATTTGTATTCACTCAACAAGCAGTCTTCAGACAGACAGAGAGCAAAAGAATAAAATAGGAAAAGACTATTAAAATAAAGTTCTATTCTACTTGAATTCATGTCTTACTTTCTAGTAATAAATCAGGGCAGCTAAAATATCAATATTGCCTGAATCATAAAAAACTTGTCATAGTCTAAGAAATCCTACTTCAAAAAATCCAACATTATTTTAACTGACTGCAATTGTCTGAGTTTGGTACACCTGAACCAGCATAGAAATAATGTTATGAAGTTAGCTCCCTGGGGGGAAATACTCATGTGCGTCAGGATCTGAAGACGGATTCTGGTGCTAATCACATCACACTGCTTAACATATGAAAGAAATGTAAAAGAGTCCTTTGCTGTGATTCCACAGCAGCAAAAGAGGTAGGGAGCTTCATGGAAGGAGCAGGTTTGTTTAAATCACTGGAGCACATAGAATGGATGACCTTGAAAACTACAACTTCTGTTACAGACACCTCTGGCTGCCTCTGTAGTCACCTTTTGAAAATGCAAAGTATAAACGTTTTATTCAAAACCTCAGACATTATAATGGCTCAGAAGAACAATGACAGCGGTGTGTCCTTGTAGCAGTGTTCCTCTCAGAGAGATGAACGACAGGCTCAATTGCTTCACTGTAATTTCTCTATTTCCATGCTTCATTTCCTTCGTGTAGCTGAGACTGGAGGAAAAACAGCATGTTCTCAAGCATCTAATACCATGATGCAATATAATAAACCTGAACATGGTGGAGATTGGAGGTCCCAAATAAACATACCTCTACATGTCAACATTTTATTTTTTAAAAAAGCAAGAAAGCATAATCTCTCCTGTACTAATCAGAAGAGATAATAATTATAACAATTAAAAAAGAAACTAAAAATAGACAGCAACTTCTCCCCATACCTACACAGGCATCAAAACTGCAGGAATCTTTCCCGGCTTTCTGACATATCCTTAAAACGATTTTGATAAGGCAATGGCATATGTTGCATTATTTGAATTCAGACTTTTTTTCCAGATTTATCCAGCTATTTACAAAGGCTTTTTGCCAGTAATTGGCTTTTAAAACCAAATATTTTAAAGTCATTGCATTTGACATGTTTTGAGCCAGCAAACTGCATGCAGTACTGTAAATAAAAGCCTTATCTTCTGTATACAATATACTGTATTATTATTGTTAGGTGGTGAATGTTTTCATCTCCCTTCTCACTAAGCAGACTCTGCAGTCTAATCCTAGCAGTACTGTGAAGGCATCTACAGGATATCATTGGCTCAGTGAGGTCACAGTGCACTACTTACTCTTAAAGGTTAGTTGCCTCTGCAGGTATCTGAGGGTTGCTATCTATTTGCACATGGCTGAGCATCTTAATGTTACTAAAAATGCCATTAGATACCCAGGATATGTATGTTCAGTGCAGTCCCTAGGACAAAGTTCTAATGAAGGTATGCTTCACCAAGGCAAAAAAACCCAAAAGGTTAAAAATGGAGAAATATTTACAGATTTTCCTTAGTTCATATATTGAGTTTTTTTCTTTTCTTTATCTTTAGTGCATTGTCGTAGAAAGGTTCAAAGGCTATGAATACAAATTTTCTGGTCCAGTTCCATACATGTCTGCAAGCCGTTTAAAACGGGGGCCCCAGTCACTGAGGTAATCGTAATTCTGATCAGAGTTTGAACTGATAGAATCTAAGGAGCTGAGTGACTCAGCTACAGAACCATTTCCTTCAAATGCATATGTCTGCAGGGAATCATATGGTGGAGCACAGGGATCCACATCAGCCTCTTTTAGTCTTTCCCAAATAAATTCCCGAAAAATGACATTATCTGGAATGCTTTTAAATGATGGTCTACTCAGGAATTGGATTTCTGGAGTCACATCCCTCCTCGTCTTGGTATCTCGAATAATGTTGAGGTTCCTCAAGGCAGCCATGTCAAAGGCTTCTGTGTCTTCTTCTCCACCGCCTTCATCGTCGTATCTGACAATGTTCTCCCTGATATCTCTCTCTTCATCAAACACAAGGGGTTCTTTTTTCCGTCGTCTCATTGTGACAATCAGCAGGACAAGAACTGCAAGGCAAGAGGCAACACTTAAGGAAAAGGAAATGCTAAACTTCATTGCCCCTCTAAGGTTTTAGTTACCAGCTATACTATTCCTAAATCATATATGGGAGAAAGCTTTGCACACAGTGCAGCCATTTTTAAAAGTGTGTAACAGGTTCTAAAATAGCTTTTAGACCAAGAGCTTTTAGACTAAAAAAAAAACAAAACAAAAAACAAACTATTAGCACACTCATTTTGATTTAGTGCCATCAGATGCAATTCTGCATTCTACATCGGCTGCCAAAATATAAATTTTAATATCCAGTTTGGCTGAATATTTCAATCTCACAGCCATGAAATAAAGAGAGACCTTTTTCTGAACTCTTAATTGCTCAAGTGATAAAAATGCATTCATAAACACTACACGTGCAATTTAACTGTCAGAGTGTAGAAAGTGACTTCATTATTGTAGTATAGGAGTATCAGGTGACTGATGAAATATTTAATCCTTGATTGGAAACTTCAGAGGTGTTAAATAATATCTAGCATAAGTCTTAGATTGTGCATTAAAAGTGCTTCTCCTACACTTGGCTTTAATGTGCAAAGTACTGCACTATACACCTGTGAATTATCTCTAAGAAGAACTGCAAAGGCTGTTGGCATTTAATAGATCAGCCCATGCTACCAGGCAATAATAACTTTGTAATCTCTATACTTATGAGGGCTTCTTGTTGGCTTTAGTACCAAGATGAATGTCCAGGGAATTAGCTAAAAGACCATTCAACATTTAAGCTGTACTGAACACAATTTATTTACCCCTGACATTATTCATTAATAAAGTACACCTTTCCTTCAAGCCACATCATTCAGCTATCAAATTACAAATATATGATGGATAAGGGTTACTCATCCTTTTCAAAAAAAATGTTTACCCAGTTCATTTTAGCAATAAAGCACCCACATTATTTTCTTTCCATTAACTAAACACCCCTAACAGTATAAAACACTGGAAATAAACTAATGATAATCCAAATTATCAGATGACTAAATTATCTGATTTTAAATAGTGCTTGTGGGTAGATGGTACATAACAACACAGATGGAATAACTGTTGTCTCATGACATAATGGATTGTTGCCAGAAGAAGCTGTAGTTTCTACTATACAACATTTATTAACAGTAAAAAATAGCACAAGATGTGGGAAATTCCATCTGCTTGAAATCATATTTAAGTACTCAATTCAGCAATAAACATAGACCGAAACAATGCAAGTATACAAGCATATAATAATAATAATCATCATCATCATCATCATCACCACCACCATCATCTTAATTTTTACACCGCCACCATCTCCCCAAAGGGACCTGAGGCAGCTCACATATCCTGATGTAACCGTATTTTTCATATATTCCAATTTGTTTAAAATTACAGAGATGAAAGATGGAGCAGTCTTGTCCTCTACTGCTCTAGAGTCAAGGACATGGGGTGATAGAGTCAAACTGCAGGAAAAGAGAGATTACCTTAATGTTAGGATGAACTTCCTGACACTAAGAGCTGGTCAACACTGGCATACACTGCCTCAGAGTGTGCTGGAATCTCTTTCTTTAGAGGTTTTTAAACAGAGACTGGATGGCTATCTATCAGGGGTATTTTAATTGAGTGGTCCTGTGGTCTCCATGACCTACAAGCCACTCTAAACACCTTTGCAGAAGCATACGATAAGCTCAGCCTCTCACTGAACATCGAGAAAACTAAACTGCTCTTCCAGCAGTCACCAGGCAATCCATCTGAAATGCCAGAAATACAGCTTAATGATGTAACATAAAAATGTTGACCATTTCTGCTACCTTGGCAGCCACCTCTCCACAAAAGTCAACATTGACACTGAAATACAACACTGCTTGAGCTCTGCGAGTGCAGCATATTTCCAAATGAAGCAGAGAGTGTTTGAGGACCCAGACATCCGTAGAGAGACCAAGGTGCTTGTTTATAAAGGTATTGTCCTCCCAACTCTGCTATATGCCTGCAAAACATGGACTGTCTACAGACATCATACTCAACTCCTGGAATGATTCTATTAGCGCTGACTCTGAAAAATCCTGCAAGTCTCTTGGGAAGACAGGTGGACAAATGGCAGTGTGCTGGAAGAAGCAAAGACCACCAGCATTGAAGCAATGCTCCTACGCCATCAACTCCTACGCCATCAACTGGCCACGTTGTGTGAATGCCGATCACTATCTCCCAAAGCAGTTCCTATATTCACAACTCAACAATGGGAAACGTAATGATGGTGGACAGGAAAAGAGGATTAAAGATGGGCTTAAAGCCAAACTTAAAAACTGTGACATAGACACCAAGAACTGGGAAGCCCTGGCCCTCAAGCACTCTAACTGGAGGTCTGCTGGGACCAGCAGTGCTGTAGAATTTGAATAGAAAGTGAAAGGGAGAAATGGGCCAAGAGGAAGGCACGTCAAGCCGACCCTAACTTGGACCACCTTCTACCTGGAAACTCACTGCAGGAGAACATGCGGATCAAGAATAGGGCTCCACAGCCACCTATGGACCCACCGCCAAGACACTACACTTGGAGGACCATCATCCTAGGGCTACAAGGGATTGTCTAAGTAAGTCTTCCAACTCCATAATGCTATGAAAATCCTCACCTATCCTGTTCTCACAAGATGGTTTTCACAAAAAGTTTTCCTTGCCTGTGGGATTGTATGATATTTTATTGTTGGTCTTGAGAGAGCTTTGTACTTGCAAAACTACTTTTTGTGCAAATGCATTCTGCAACTTATCACAAGGCTAGTTTGCTGCTTCAGGGAAGGTGGAGTATCTGGGTTAAGCTAATCGTCTTCTTCCCAGAAGCCCATAAACTTTGTATATGCTTTAGGAAGAAGCAAAACGCTTCAAGCCAATGAATTTGAATTCATTGGCTCATTGTTTTTTTTGGGGGGGGGAGGGGGGAGGCAGGGACATACACCAGAGAAAAGCTAGATGAAACTTCCAATCAGTCTGGTTTTACCCAATATAAGCTGTAACCACAGCACGTCACTGTTTATTTTGTCCCAAAATAAATCTATTTGTATATTTTGGTAGTATTCCTGAATGGGACTTGCCTCTGACACACAAAATCACATAGGAAAATTATGATAGTTACTGCTTTGTTGTGTGGACTTTGAGAAAGCAGAACTAGGCTCATCAGTCAGTCAATCATTCTATGTTTACTGTATGTGCCTAATTTGCTTTGCAAAGAGAAATACAGAGACATTTTGTAGACATAAGAGCAGAGACATCTTGTACCCACTGTGTGAAAGGAAAAGAAAAACATGTTATGCCAATATCATGCTGAAATCAAGGTATGGGATTCACAAATTCCTGACAAATGGAGTCATGTTAACATATGCAATAAAATGTGATAACATGAGATACTTCTGTTCAGTGTTTCAACTAGCTTCTTATTCTTTCCTAAAAGATATAGTATTTTCTTTGATTCTTTCCCAAAATATGCAATAGTGAGCATTCAATGGTCATAGTTAGGGGTGATCAATCATTATAAGAAACCAGAGATAAATTTAACATTTGTCTTATGTTCAAGAACATGTAATCTGGAATCAGATCCTGAGATATAGTGCAGTGTAAAGCCAGGGCTGGATTATCTGTTTATCTTAGATTATCTGGCAGCGTAGACTCATATAATCCAATTCAAAGCAGATAATCTGGAATCAGATCCTGGGATATAGGACAATATAGATCCAGGCTAAGTAGTCTAAAACTTTAGTGGCAGCCTACTCTGGATTTCAAAATATCTTTCTCCAGACACTGACTTTGTTTTTGGCTTAATGCATTACAGTAGTGGTATGCAACTTTTGGTTCTCTCGGTGTTTGGGACTCCAGTTCCCAGAAGCCCTGGCCAGCAAGTCCAATGGAATTCTGGGAGCTGAAATCCAAAACACCTGGAGGACCAAAGATTGGACTCCACTGCATTCATTTTTTCTCTCTCTTCCAAGAGCCAAATACAATAACTAATTGAATTTGTTATTGGTTGTTGGTTTTGATGCCTGTTTTATATAGTTATAATGTTGTTGTTTTATTTTGTTTTATGTTGTTGTTTGCATTTTAATGTGTTACTTTTTAACTGTGTTGATCAGCCTTGGCCCCATGTAAGCTGCCCCGAGTCCCTTCGGGGAGCTAGAGGCAGAGTACAAAAATAAAGTTGTTGCTGCTATTATTATTGTTGTTATTGTAACTCACCATTGATCAATTACTATTTTCTTCTAAAGCATGGGCCCCCCATGCTTTAGAATGTTTCATTTGTCATTGCTGTGGGAGATAGCACTAGAGGCAGGTCTAAGGATTTTTGTTGAACAAAAGGCAGTCATCCTATTTATTCCACTTTTGCTTGTAGTACAATATGATTGGGTTCAATGTGGGAAACTTCCAAGGTGAATTTGAGTATGGAACACTAATTTTCTATTGTGCAACACATATAGTTATGGAAAATATAATTTTACTTTTTCTTTGAGTTTTAATTAACTGTCACAAAGCAATAGTGAGTAAAAATGAAAACCCTTAGTTTTTGTGAAATAAAAGATGAAAAATAATAGTTCAAATTAAGATTTGAATTGCTAGAAAGCTTAGCTTTCACCCTCTTTTTTTTAAAATTACTTTTGACTGCACTACAGCGTAGTGCAGTGGAGTTCTACAGCCATGCATGGAGTAGTTAATCTCTTTCCAACTCCAGTGAAAATGTGTTTTCACACTATGACATGTTCAGCAGACTTCATCTGGGGAGTTAAATACCTGCTAATAAGTGCAAAATATATGAAACTTAGTAGAGCTGCCCGCCTAGAGGTACAATAAAAATCAAGATAAAATGAATGTTTTATATGGTTATGCTTCGCACCGCCTGTGATTGCTTGAAGCCAAGAAAAATATGAAGTCCCTTGAAAGGTTAAACATTTTAGCATTTAAATGGCTTTAAGAGAATATTAATTTCTAATCACTCCAACTGCTCCTGAAC